AGAGCTTTTGTTGCACACTGGGAAAGCAATGTGATTTGTTAGGTGTGACGGGGTATTCAAACAAACTAAATCACCTTTAATGCAAGGTGTTATGAGCAGACAGATGTCGATGTCTGACAGCTAGCAGCAAAGGTGAATTGTACCAAAGACTGCAGACAATCTATTGTGTGTAGCTTAAGCTGCAGTATGTGGACTGAAATCTGATTAGTTTAGTGTCTTAGTTTATCATGTAGTTCCATTTGATTCATTTTTCAAGTCTCCACCTTGTTGCCCAGATATGAATTTCTAAACTGTCAAGATGGCAGCAATTGCCAAAACGCTCTAAGAATCCTTTTGGTGATAGACATCATGTTTTATGCTAAGGAATAGATTGATACCACTCTCATGTCAGAGTCAGTAGATGATTATCTTAGCTTAGCATGAGGAAATAGCTAGTCTGTAAAAAAAAAAAAATTAGACTAATAATGCTTCCTCTAAAGCTCATTAATAAACATGTTATCTTGCAAACATGACAGACTGCGGTTATGTAGGAAGTTATTTGGGTTTATCTGGAGAAAAAGTCGAACACATGATCCCCGTACAACTACACTTCTTCACAACAATCTTTATGAACACATTAAACAAATGAAAGATAACAAGTTATAACTATTAAGCTTTATAGGTGCCCTATTCAGATTTTTTTTACCTTTGGACAGAGCTAATCTAGCTGTTTCACCCTACTTCCTGTCTCTACGGTAAGATAAACTAATCGTCTCCTGGCTGTAGCTCCATATTTAGCTTACAGAAAATAAAAAAGGATATCAATCTCATCTATCTTTTGTCAAGAAAATGAATAAGCGTATGTATGAAAATGTGTCAGTGTGACTTTTGTGTCAGTGATAAACCGTTTTTGTAAATAGGCAGCATGAACTAAAGCAAAACAAACATTTTCCTCAGTGGTTTGGATGAAAGAAAACTAGCTGTTGGTATAGCTGCTTTACTGTCGCTCCAATGAGCCGTGAGCCTGAAAGACAAACTCAGGGATGGAACCTCAACTTCACCGGCTTTCTTGCCTGTTTGAACAAGAGGACAGAAGCTGAGCTTCAAACGGAGCAGGAGCTGGAGTGACGCCTCACAGATAACTACCTCCAGCTCTGTCATTTTCTCTTCCACGGTGTCTCTTTGCTTGTTTCTATGGCCTGTGCCGCGCTGTAGGTTCACTAGCAGGATCTCCTCTTTCCGCTCTGACACTCTGCAATCAGATGTGACACACTGAAGGCTCAGATGACAGCCCGGGAAGACAAGGTCACACAGTCACCTACTTTTAACGAAGGATATGCACAGCTCTTTTTGACAGGCCTGCACCGTGCACAAACACATACACTTCCGCACTGCGTACACACTTTGCGCACATATACGCCTCCACTCACACACACACTTGTACACACATACGGAGTCACAAGGAGGAGCAGGAGTGTTTTTTGCAGACGGGGCCTTTTCTCGTGCCTGTGCAATCTCAGAAGCAATTACCTATTAAAATTTCATCCTTCCCATCTCAGAATGTTTAGGAAAAGATTATAACTGCTGGGGAGGTAATTAAGCCTGCAAATTGTGAATTCAGTTGTGAATACAGAGGGCTGCGTATGTGTGCAAATGTGTGTAGCTTTGTGTGTTTTGTCTTAATAAAACTAATAGTGCTGCCCACCTAAAGCTCTTTAGTGTGATACCCAAAATGACAATTACAAGACTGAGAAGTACAATATTTGTCTGGAGGAAGTGTTCAGTGTAATAATTCACAAGGATAAATAGTATTTTCCAATTAAATTTCACGACTAACTTCTTCATTAGATTATACAGTAAGTGTAATAACAATGAGATTAGCTGCTGCTGCTTGTCAATTACACTTAAACTCTCAAGACATCTAGTTTCTAGTACTAAAAATTGTGGTGAAAGTCATCCTGAATGAAAATGAAAATGGCAATGGCTCAAGATGTTTTCAGATTTCTTTTATGGCAATCCAGACAAGAGCGTAGCTTCAGTGCTGCTTTAATACAGAACACCTGACAGTTACAAAGGTCTCGTCCTTCACAGCTTCATAAATGGCTGTTGCCATCAATCTGCTTGTTGCCACTAAGATCTTCTGACTCCTCATATTGTACCATTCCCTCTCCTTCTGCCGTTCTCGCTTTCCCCTCTTTCTCCATCCCTCCCTTCTTTGTCTCTTCAGCTCTTTGATGCTGAAAGTGTAGAGATGCGGGATCTTCAGCCTTTTAAGCATTCAAACAGTCGGTTTTGAGATGACATGAAAGTCTGCCAGCTGGCCCACCTGGGGATTGGGGGGCTGGCTGGTTCTGGTTCACAAAGCAACCAAAGTGTTCATTTTTAATATGCAGTAGGTTTGCGGGGGCCCAGGCTGGATGTGCACAAGGGCCCACAACATAACAAACACAAACCTCCAGCTTTTGTATTACTAATTGATGCTGTGCGTTCTCACTTGTGTGGTACATGTGATAATGATTACGAATTATCAAGGCGCAGCAAAGCACGTACTGGGAATAGGGGTTTGCCTGCTCTTCTATCCCTCTGTTGACAAATGCATTCAATAAAGAGCTTGCGGGGAAGCCGTATAAACTGATAACGCATCGGTGGTCATCAGTGATTCCTTTACAGACCAACAACACTTTGTGACTGACAGTTGCACAGGGCCCAAAGGAATTTTCTCCGCCTATATAAGCAGCCCAGACCTGCCAGACCAGATTAATTAACGCCACCAATAGGGCAATCTGGCCATAAGCTATAATCAATATGTGGTTTGGAGTGAAAATAGATTTTCCAGCAAAATCCTGCACTTTATCTAAATATCGCTTATCTTTACATTGCAATCGCCTCTCTCCTCACACTGCTTCTGTCTCTACCTCATCCGTCCTTTGCATTCGGCGCTCCTAAAGTAAATCATCTTGCCCTTTTCAGTCTATTTATTTCCCGTTAATCACTTAAAACAAGAATAACAAGTCCATATCCAGCACCCCCCTCCTGTAACCCTGTGATGAATCGTCGCCCTCACCGGCGGAGTTACCCCGTAAACCAATCAGGTGGCCGTCGGGGGAGGATCCCGCCAGATCACAGAGGTTAATAACATTCCACATGATCACCCACAAGCCCGAGGATTAGAAGGTTCAGCTGAGCAGGTTCCACATTGCAAATAATAATCTCTATTTCACAGCAGCATCCTCCTGGCCACTCAGGTGATAGGCCACCCCGTTATCTCATCTCCCCCACAGTGAGGCAAGAAAAAAAGACCAGAGCGAACCCCAAAACCTACTGAAAGACCGAGACCTGATCTCATCTGAAACCAAACCATGTTTTTATTGAATGCAACCTTTCTTCCCCCCTTTCCATGAGCTGTGCTCTCATCATGATGTTGATGGTGTCTGTGGGCGTAGTGCTTCATGCTGAGTAGGGTTATGTCACCTTGTCGTTAGCCAGGGGAGCTGTTGTAGGATTACATATTTATCTCATTCTCGCAAACAGAAGTAGTTACTCAACCCCCCCACCACTTCCTTACATGTACACTTCCTGTCAGTTACAGCGCTCAACAGCTCCCAAAAATCCCATTGTTTCTCGCCTTCTGTTGATGATTTGAACTTGACTGTGAAGTGTTTGTAAAGTTTCTAAACAAAACTGGAACCTGCAAAGAAAAAGACATTATTGGCGCTTTAACAAAATTTGTAAGTGTACATGTAAGAAGCAAGACTGTGATTTTTAAAACGTATTTAGGCGTAAAAAGATGTTCTTTTCTCAACTCAGCTGTCAGTGTGACACCAATATGCCACAAAATAGCTAAATAATCTCATCCAATTGGCAAATCTTTTCACTTTTCTAAAAACTAGGACTTTAAAACTCCACACCAGATCAGATAAATTGATTTATTTCATTCATGTGTGATAGTAACATAAGAAATGAGGGAAAGACAGTCCTCTAACAAGACGAGTCACTATATGCTGAAATTCATCTTAGATCTGCGTTTTGCTTTGGCGCAAGAAATACGGATTGGTGATGCAACTTTGAGGAAATCTGAATGCTGTGTTTTGTTACCTTACCATATCTTTACATATGTGTTTGTGTGTGTGTGTGTGTGTGTGTGTGTGTGTGTGTGTGTGTGTGTGTGTGTGTGTGTGTGTGTGTGCATTCATCTGTTTGATCTTCGGTGTTAAAAACACAAAGAGGCTCGGTACTGTAGCAGCCCACGGGACGCAACAGAAATAGATGGCATTCATTCGCTCTGTATTCTACCCTCGCCACCACCAACACCACCCTTCAAACTCCCAGCCCCCCAATCCCCCCTACACACACACACACACACACACACACACACACTACCACCACCAACGCCGCCACCACTCTTCACCGACTCACAGACACACACACACACACACACACACACACACACACACACACACACACACACACCTCCCACTCCCCCTTTTCTCTCTCTCTCATTATACCATGTGGGCATGAACCAAAATAAAATGGTGAATAACGGCTGGATTTGAAAAGCTGCAGAAAAGGCAGGCAGATATTCTCTTTCTAGCGTGTTATGAAATGGATGGATATCTGGCCGGTGCAAGATAAAACAAAAACCCAGTGCTGTCATTTGAAACAAAATAGGAACGCGCCTGCGGGGATGTGTGTGTTCTCCCTGTGCTTATACTGTACCTTTGAGGATTTTCTGACTACGCACCATCAACCAGATATGAGTGTGGTTGAAAACACTTGAATCTGGCTGCAATGAGCGACAGACACTTACATCACTCCAGATGACTTCATAAGGGCCTCTGACACCAACCTGGACACTCTGAAGTCGCTTCAAATCAGCAGCTTTTTCTGCTGACACACGCCCCACCCACACCTCCATATGCTGCTCTAAGTTATACACCCAGTTCACAACAAGCCAGCCAATGAGCTGTCCAAATAAAAATAAAAAACTCCACAACATAAAAAAGGAAAAGGAAAAAACTCACGGAGGTTTGTGGCCCTGGAAGCATAGTGCTGCGAATGCATCCCTAGGGCCTCTTCCCCCCGATACTGCTCACCTGGACACCCGCCCTGCAGCACACTGGCAACGGCCCTGTCAGACAGACAGACAGAGAGAGGGGAAGAGAGGAGTGAGACAGAGAGGCAGTGAAGGATGAGGGGTGCAGACACGAGGAACTGTGCACAACATGGTTAATTTAATCATTCAGTTGGGCTGCATTGCTGTGCAGCATCTTTCCGTGCAACTGAGGTGCAGCTATCTGGAAGAAAATGGGGTTCCCTAATGAATGGAATATAATTGGTTTCATGTGTCCTGTTTTTGCTGCACACTCTTGGCTATTAGATGACACTATGAAGGTGTATAAAAGCATTTTCACTGATCTCCACTCACAGACAGATACACAATGGAGCACAATGAAGCTCAATGCCGCTTTACTCCAGTGAAAGAAACCGCCCCCGCCTGGTGAGAGAAGAGTGGCTCACGTAATGTTATGCTATACAACAATGGATAGGTGGACCAGAGTGGAGAGAGCGTGCAGCATCATGAAGAGTCTTAATAGAGAAGATGACATAAGTTGCTCTTGTTGCCCAGAAACCACAACCTGCGTGTGAAATATAATAATGCATTTTGAGAAAGTTGTAGTGTTAATGGTGTTGCGCTGCTGTGTTTCATTTTATTCCCGTTGTGTACTTCTGATATGCACAGAGGAAGATGAGGAAAGGAACGACACGTTGCGCGCTCCAGATCACTGCGTGCGTAGGCTACTACTGCAAGTCTCTTTGTAAACAAGCGCACCGAGAGAAGCAGGCAGTCAGAGAGGGAGAAGGAGAGAGAGGGTAAGATAAAGAGAGAGGGAGGAAGACACACACACACACACACACACACACACACACACACACACACACACACACACACACACACACACAGATTTACCTGGACATGTTCTCTCTCTGAGGCCGGTGCGCCTTTTCCAGACCCAATTTGGTGAAAATCCCCACAAGAGCCATAATGGCCACTACTCCACATATGATGTAAACAATTAAGTTCGTCTTGTCTTTGGTGCTGTCGTGCAGCTTGTTAATTTTTTTGTAGGGAGTCTGTCCGGTCTTCATCCACACCGGAGTGTCATAATTTTTACAGGTGCTCTGGTCCAGCCGCGAGTGCTTGTAGGAGCAGCAGAAGCGGAAGCCACAGGTGCCGCAGCAGTACAGATAATTGCCCGTTTTGCAGATGAACGGCGGGTCCCACTGGCCCATCACGTCGTAGTAACCCCGACATTTGTCCTCCGTGTGCGGGGTCTCCTCTGACACGCTCTCCTCCTCCCTGGAGCCGTTGGAGGTGGCGATCATAACGAATCCCCCGAGCAGTCCCGGCTCCCCGTCAGCCTTGCACACAAGAGCCATAAGTTTGAGCAACAAGAAACCGAGGAGAAAGTATTTTCCTCTCATCGTGCTTTCTCCTCCGTTCAACTTCACGCGGAAACGAAAAGACTTGGAGAGAGGAAAAAAGACGCACGGTCATGATATGCTGAAAAGTCCAGAAACACACATCCAAATAGCAACGCACCGTCAGCCGCGCTGATGAACATCTTTATTAACATATCATCATCCAAAAATAAAGAATAAAAAAACGCGCAGAATAAAAAACAATCTCCTTGGAATGAACTTGACTTATTCTAAACTAACTGCTCTCCAACGCGCGCTCTCTGCTGCGCATCTATACCATTATTTTCGGAAAGGCGTTTGCGGGCTCAGATTTCGCGTTCTCGGGAGTGCATCACTTTACATATCCATCGGTGCGCTCTTACGCACAGGAGTAGGCAGAGACACAAGCCGCACCGAGGATGAGAGCGCAGTGAGCGAATAGAAGAGCCGAGGGTGGGAGAGCCTGGTGCGCAAAAGTAGAGGAGGAGGAAAACATGGGGAGGGAGTGAGACTGCGAGGGCTGAGGAGAGAGAGAGAGAGAGAGAGAGAGAGAGAGAGAGAGAGCCTTTATAGTGAAATATTATGATAAAAGCCCCGGAATACGCACATCACTCTTCTGTTTTGCCGTCGAGGAAAGGCGTGGGAGCCCCCCCCATTTTATTCTTCCACTTTATGTATTTCAGTCGTAGGTTGCCATTGTTTTATAAATCCTGAAATCACAAGTAGCTTAATGTGCTGCAATAGGAAGTAGCTGGCACAGCTTCTAAAGCAGGGGATGGGTTTTTGTAAAAGAAAGGATGTGGCCCCGGGATGTAATGTCTGCTAGATCCCTGGGAACTTTCTAAAAAACAATAAGGATTCCTAAGCAGTAGTAATGCTCATGAAGACCCAGTCCTTATTGCGCCCTAACTGAAAGACACAACCAAAAAAAAAGTGTTTTTTAATCCTCAAAACAATGGACATGGTCCTTATAGGCAGATTTTTTTCAGCTGAAAATTCTCACACTGGAGAATGTCTCTCCCTCAAACAGTATTTCAGAAACAGTGGCCAATAGGTAATAGTCGGTGCAAGCAAAACTCTCTGTACAGGAATACGTTTTATATTGAGTGAATATCTCAAGCTCTTCAATTGTTTTTTTTTTCTTATCAAACTGTGCTGTGAGAGAAAGAAAAAATGAACTCAAATCAACTTTCTGAGTTGAGCTGAAGAGCATAAAAACGTGTAAGATAATTTCATCATCTGCAAAACATGCTTATAAAAACCTGAAACACAAGTGGTCTGTGCTTATTTAATTTGTCCTGAAGGACCTTCGAGGTGATTTGAACTGTCTGGGTGCAGAGAAAGCGAGCAACACCAACGATTAACACTCATTCCAATATTAGAAAAATATGAAAGCAACCACACAAACAGCTTCTCCAGTCAGGTTAAACAAAAAAAAAAGATGGATCATGTTGAATTTTGAATTGCCTCTTTCCAAGGTCCCTCCCTTTGAGTGAACAAAGTTGTTTTTTTTACACAAAATGCGAAATTATTTGGCCTACAGATGTTTAGTTTAGAAAGCTTTATCCTCACGGAGCTGTGAATGTTTAAAGAGGGGAGTAAAACACCCGATTAACAGTCATTTACAGCATAAAAATCAGAAAGATAAGAAATCAAGCAATAGATTAATATAATATAATATAATGTAATAAATAAATAGTTCTTACAGCACCCATCAGTGACCCATGGGCTTCCCCTGGGAATCCCTAAAGAGAATCAGGCTCGTTCACTTTACATATTTAAAATACATTTTGTCGGCTGTATTTAATTAAACGTTAAGGGTGTGTCTGCTTTGGTATTCCGAGAGTAAATATGTAAAACGCGCTTTTGCCTGTAGGCTGCTGTACTAGGACAGCCTGTGTTTAGCAGCCACACTGGGGGCCGCTGCAGCTGAAGTCGCACACAAACAGGCAGTGTAGTCGACCACCGATACTCCCCGATAGACAGCGAGGGGCCAGCCTACAGCTACCTGTCCGGAGGCTCGCTGACAGGCTCACAAGTCCCACATTAGTTTGCTCGGACAGTGTTTTGTTTTTAACCACTGGACCCCATGGCTGGCAGTGAGGATATCTTTCTCAGGGCTAAACACCGGACATTCAGCGGACTGACTGAAGGTAGCCGACTACCGTTAGCTTCTTTATCCCCGCAGCCGGTTAGCCAACTCACAGGCTAACGCATTAGCTAACGCTCCCTCTAGCTTGGCTGTTAACGTGACCTACAGAAGTTGTTGACAGGTTGAAGAGCTGCTGGAGCAAACACAGCCACTTGACAGCGTTTGTGTAGCTTAGTTTGAATAACCGGGTCACTGTTGTCAACCATAGCAAGGGTAGATAGCTTGCTTGTTAGCTTGTGTTTACAAAATAAAGCTTATTAGTGGTGTTGTAAGTTACTCTGTTTGAGTAGCATTCATGAGCAAGCGTACGTTTAGACGTGCTGCAGTCTGTTATTAAAGGGCATATGTAATGTAATGGTTGTGGCTAATTCACTGTGAGTTGGCTAATAATTCAAACTTTCTGTTGTTTGGTCCACCCCAGGTCCTCCGTACAGCTACAGTCAACCACATTTCTGCTTTATAGAGGAGGAGCTGTAGCACAACTTCCCTGTGTCAGACTTTATGTAGGTTAAGTAGATTAGTTAGTTAGTTTAACACGTTTCATAACATAGTGTGTGGTTCAGCCCTGCAGTCAATATATTCAAAGATTCATAATGACACACTAGCATGCTCAGTTACGTGTTCATCAGTTTCTACTTTTCATGTTTGTTGAGCTCTTCAGCTCCTGCTGTAGGAAATAATATAAGGAAACTCGAGGGAAGACATTTAAATGTTCAGTATTTATTATTCGCTATAAAAGCAAGTCCCCTTGTGCTTTCATCTCAAATGATGATTAATTTTGTTTCGAGCACACCATCTGCCACCTGAGAAATATGTGCGATTCCTCTTTTAAGTTATGCTCGACCAGAGAGGCCACACAAGGCTGCTGCCTCTTATCTCCTGTCATGGGAGCTCTGCCGGCTTCTGCAAGTCCTTGTGTGTGTGTTTTTTTATTGTTATTTCTTTTTTAATTTGTTGGTGAAATAGTTCACACATCTGACTCCAGAGAGAGACATTGTACTATAAAGTATGCTCAGTGTAGCACAAAGCTTGCAGGATTTATGTGAGTGCACCTTGCAGCTTCAGGAAATCTTTACAGATTGTGTTTTCTTGTTTGGGGCTCGCACAAAGAAGATGGCTAATAACTGGGACCAACATGTACAGGGGGGTGTACATACACATTTGCACATTATATTTATATGCAGTGCACACTTCCTTGATTCAAAATCCTCCCTGTGTAAAGAAGATGTCGTTTTACCTCCTTACTGAGCTGTGTATTGTTAGGTAATGATTTCCATATGCACACTCTCCTTAGCTGAGACAGAGTTTAGAGGCGAATTTGCTGAGCTGCAAGAGTTCAAAATGTGCTGGTGAAAGTTTAAAAGACTGTTCACTCAAGAGGTAAATGCTTATGGACTGTCACCACACCACAGCAGGAAACCTAACGTTATACTACAGTGGTCATGGCAGCTGTTGAAATTCAAAATCCATCCGCGGTCCCCACTGTGTAGTCATAAGTTAAGATCAAGGCCATCCTAGTCTGGACTGAAGGCAATGTAAAGTAATTTGATTGAATAGACGATGATGATAATCATAAAAGTAGAATGTGTTTCCCTTTGTGGTTTCATAAATGTCAATTACAACGAGGAGATCATTGTTAAGCTTTTACTCGTCTGCTTCCCAGGAGCAACACTCTCTTTGTCGCTCTTTCTTTTCCTATCTTTGCTCTGCTTTTCTCTGGAGGACAGAATTATCATTAACTCATTTGGGAGGGAGATACACGGAGAGCATGTTAAACACAGAAGATGCTGAACAGCTAGTGGTCCCTGCTGAGTGTGAGTGAGGGGATTTGTACAGAATGCAGATGCAGACTCTCCACAGTGAGAGCAGTGCATAACTACAGTGCTGCTTCCACATCCTCCGGAAACTAAATGAGTGGAGCAGAAAGCTGTTGTTTACACCTGCTCTTAGCATCTGTCCATTTGCGGGCAACAAGGGGACCCCATTTCCATACCACTTAGCTGGGTTTTCTCTTCGGTCCTTCATGTCAAACCTTGTCATTACCATCAGCCGAGCCGCGTTGAGTGTCTGCTTCCGTTCTTTACATGGAAAGCCGGAAACGGTTTGCGGTGTTAATGAATATTGGAGAGAGATTAGTTTGTAGGGCCCTCCTGTTTCGTAATATCAGGATTATGTAAAACACTTGTTCATTGTGGTACATTCGTGCTCTAACGTGTAGCTTGTTTGTTAATTATTTATCATTTGTTACTCATGGACTGAGCATGTACAGCGTTAACAAAAGGTTGTACATTCCCCCCACACCCCCTGGATCTTCAATTCCCAGTCCTGAATCCTGATCACAGCACTTCCAACTAATCAAGTGTTGCATTCATTCCAAGAATGAATATATAGCTTCTACATGAAGCTTTCACAACAGGCCATATACCACCGAATGACTAATGCTGTGATAACACCTAATCCGTAAAGCTTTTATATTTTCTCTTACTATTATGTGCAGTGTTCTGTGCAAGCATCCTGTGACCTAAACATATTGAAATGAAATTGTTCAGATGCTGCCTGAATATGAAGTTAATACCCACCAGATATATCAAAAGGTCAGCTGCTAATGAAAGCTGCCTCCATTAAATCAGTGTGTGAACAACTTTAAATTTGAGCAAAAGTAGCTGGTTGCATATTCAATTAAGGGTCCAGCGTGTACCATTTAGGAGGATATATTGGAAGAAATGGAATATAATATTAATCGCTAGTATATAATCACCTGAATATAGGAACCTTATTGGTACCTTAGAATTAGTTGTTTTTATTTACAGATGCCGTGGACATACAGAGGAAGTCTGCCATATTGAGCCTCCATTGTTTTCTTCAGTAGCCAAGAATGGACAAACCAAATACTGGCTGTAGATTGGGGCTTTCGCATTTTTCGTGTCCACCATAGTTCCTCCTGCACATTTCACAGCCTGTTCTCATTCCCAGGTTGTCAAATACAGCAGCCATCAGTTAGTTGTAAACTGCAACTTCACCCCTAAATACCACTAAATCCTACGCACCAGTTCTTTGTTTATACACAATAACATAAGTGCTTCAGCTGTGAAGACTGACAAATACACCTTAGGGTGGTGTAAATTGAAGAAAACTTTTTTTTATAAAGAAAAAAACAAAAAACCCACATCTGCCCGCTCCACATCTTTGCCCATTTGTGGATGGGCCGGGTGCCGGTGGAGTCAGGACTGCCAAGATTGCGACAACTAGAGCCAGAGCTTCACAACGGCTCTTCAGAAACCTATGAGTGACCTAACAGAAACTAAGTCCATTTTTAATTATATAAGCTTGGCACTCCACTATGTTTATCAGCCTGTTTTTTTGCTGAAAGCAGCTACGTTCCATGGCTGAAGTTGAGGTTGATGAGTTGCAAAACATTAAAGTTGAGGGCCGTAAAACCAAAACACTGAGCTGAAAGCTCCGTAGAGCTGATCAGTCAAGGGGTTAATTCTCTGTGGGTTTGACTCTATTAGCAACACATTTCTTATTACACATAATAATTAATAAGTCTAACATTGAATCAGCTTTAAATAGAGTGTTATTGCATTGTAGTCTTAGTAATAACTGTCTGTCTTTGTCAACACAACTGCTAAGTCCATTCACGCCTCTTGTTGCAGATGCAGAGTGTGAGTGGACGGGACCATTTTGCTTCATCCAGGCTGCAGACCCCCAGCTGGGGCTGATGAAGGCCTGGAAGGACGGCGACTGCGATGGTGGAGGGGAGGAATGGGCCGAGGAGGTCGAGCTCACCAAGCAGGCTGTGGAGGCCGTAAACCACCTAAGACCCAGGCCGAGGTTCATGGTGCTGTGTGGCGACTTGGTCCATGCCATGCCAGGTAGGGATAGAGCACATAAGGACATGCATACATTCTATAGGTTTCAAGAACTACATAAAAGTATTGCAGCTGACATTTTCTTTTCAAAATGATGAGGCTGTTAATCTTTTTGTCTTGAATAAGCGTATTTTAGCTAGTAGTTTTCAACAGGTCTTTAGTGGAAGCACAAAGTGTGAGCCCTGCTGTTGTGATGAAACGCTGTTTGAAGTACATCGCTTAAACATTGAAATACTTTTAACTTCTGTGAACGATAAGTACATGCTGAGTTCTGAGGGCTGTAAAGAAACTACAACAGCACATGCTCACTACTGAAAACAAGCCACGGCAGTGAGGAAAGGTTCCCAGCGGACTCACAGCCGTATGGACGGTAAAAAACAAGATACTGGCATCAACCAGGGTAGCTGCCAATTATCCGCCTAATGTTGAAGGACACAATGTGAACTCACAGATGCTAGACGTGTGAGCTTTAACTCTGCTCAGCCTCTTTCAGTGAGACCAAATGACACAGCAGTGGTCCCATGAACGTTATCTCATGGCATCTGGTACATCACGCAGGCTCATGCAAATGCTGCACTTGTTTCAAAGTGTTTGAAATGGCCCTCCCAAATTACAGATAACAACAGACTAATTAGAAATACAATCTGTGATTTAACGCACTATACGGCGTTTTGCCAATCGACTTGCTTTTATGCCCTGTTTGTATTCAGCCCTTCAAAGCGGCTTGTTGACAGATTTTCCTCACCCAAAACTGAGATTTTGTTTTGAGAGCTCAAAGGAAGGTTATGAGGAAAGTAAAAAATTATTAACAACCAGGGATGTCAGGATACCAGAAATGTAGTAGTTGATACCAATACCAGTGAAGTTCCATGATTCCCGATACCCAATCCGATATCCCGGTAAAAAACGAAACAATGAATTCCATGTATTTCAACATATACGCCTTTTTTTAAAAAACATTTAAACATTACAAAAAACAACAACAGTGGCATTTAGCCTTTAAGTAATAAACTAAAAAACAACTTCTCCGTGAACTCTTTTCTGCGTGCCTTTTTGCCTTCCTTATTCATTAATTATCGTTTGGTTTTCATACAGACAGTCAATTAATATCCGCCTACGAGTCTAATTTTTTACCACATGTTTTAATGCCTTTCTTCGTCTTACCAAACAGTATTTTCAACATGTGAGCACACATCTGACAAGTTGTTCGGAGTTCATATGTGAAAACAGTTTTACTGTTTTTCTCTTCGATGAGTCAAAAGTTCAATACGTTGTTGTTTTTCCGTGCAGGAATGTTAGGCGTTCCTATTCCTTTAGCATTTAACAGCAGACTAGAATATTTTTTAGGCATATACAAATAAGCTATAGGTATAGGTAGAAAAACAAGTACCGTCAGAACTTTAGCATTAACTTGGTACATCCACCACCCAAAACACTGTGAAATTACGTACTACATGATAACCATCAAACCAAGTTGTATGTGTTATTCTTTGGTAAAATAAAAAAACACCTGTGGAATTTGGACTTTGCAGCCAGTGAACATAAAAGTCTTCCTACTAAGGTTATAAGGGCTCCTTGCTGCTTTCATACACACAATACAGCCTTTTCATATGACTGACATCTTCTTTATGTTCACCAGTAGTTCTGTTGTGAGCATAAAGTGACTGAAAATTCATATTAACAGCTTAGATCTGGAGATATGTACCATAAAGTTAGGAGGATCTACTAGCAGAAATGGAATATATTATTTAAAGGTGTTTTCATTAATATAGAATTAGCCATCTACAGAGGGAGTGGGTCCTCTTCTATGGAGTCCACCATGTTGAACCACCATGTTTCTACAGTAGTGTTTGGTTAGTTTAATGGCTACCGTAGTTTGATGCTTAAGCTTTGTTTATACTCAATGCAAGTGGTCAGTGGGTCAATGTTTGATTCATAGTGTTGCATTTCACCCAATATTAGAACCACCACAACACTAGACGGATGCATCGAATATAACAGGCCATATCACAGTAACATTTTGCGTTTTATGTGCCAGGCTATGCATGTACCTACAGTGGTGGAGTTACATCCAGGTAACTCTTTCACCTTGTCTCATTACTGAACAGGAAACATTCTGCAATCAATCATCTGAACCACTTTCTCACTACATACAGTATGTTGTTGTTGTTGTGTATATATATTAAAAAGTACAATATGTGCAATATCACTGTAATGTGCAGACTGCAGACTTAATAGTGGGAATGTGGGTAGTGCAAAAGACCAGCGACCAGCAACAGAACAGTTCCATGTGTGGAGGTCAGACTGGTCAGCAGTGTTAAACTTCTGCTCACTCAATGCCCACTGCAGGTTTTAGTTTTTGACCCGCCCAGCATGAGATGACTTTCTGATTAGGTACAAAAGTTGCTCTGACGGGCGGGATTATACCAATGTCAAATATACAGTATATGTCAGAATAGCAAAATGTGACAGGAATGTTTCTGACTGAAACCATTAAATTTGTATGCTTTTTCTATCATATAGGATTCCACATGGGCACACAGTGAATGTCATTTGTAGCCTCAGGCTGAATTGTTTATATGACCCCAGTGCAACAGGCAGGAAAGGTTTGTGATGACCTGCAAAATCAATGCATGAATGCAATAGTGAATGGCATTTGATCAAAATATGATTGACAGGAGTGAGTAAATATAAAGAATGTAGCAAGTCTTGAACTTTCAAATCTTCCTCATACTGCACCTTGTGTCTTAGTCCGTTGCTGCAGATTCTCAGATATGTTATTAGCAGAATTCGAAGCTTTCTGATATTCATCAGTCTTTAAACAGAATGGAATATGTCTGATATATATATATATATATATATATATATATATATATATATTGATTAATGTGTTCTCAGCTGCCCTCTGAGGTAGTCCTAATCTAATTAATGCACTCTGTGAAGAACATCAGCTTTGGGATGCTTCAGATATAGAATATTCCTCATTGAGGTAGGTTTGAACATTAGCCTTCTCTGTTTCCCAGCCTGAGTGTGTAAACAGCATGCTCCCCTCTGACAGCAGCTGATATTTATCTATTAAATAGCAGGCCTGCTGCCTATTCTCAGACAAGGTTAGTTTCTGTGCCGATGAAGATTCTGGCTATTGATTAGACAAGCCACACTTTAAATTCATGTCCAATTCTTAAAAATCTATACAAGATAGTGGCTGGTGGTTTTGGGAGAAGCTGCTGCAGCTGGGAAGTAAAAAAGTTAGTTTTCTGACCTGTTTGTAAAGTCTAGTTTGCAAGCGTCGGACCCCCTGTCACAGCATGCAGTATTTATCTATAAAAAAACACCTGGCTGCCTTCAAGCTGTTTGTATGAATTTAGGTTTGTTGAAATGGTTCAGCAGTTAAATACTGGTTGCAGATGGAGAATATGAGGCCTTTTTATTCAATCATTTAGTTCGTAAATAATTTCTAACAGCAGCGCACAATAGTTTCTCTCTATGAATCTTATGCTGGGAGTTAGACATGTTAGATGTCTTGGAACCAGGACAGCAAGCCGACTTGTTTTGCCACGGTGGCAGCTGGTTTCCCCAATTCACCAGATGCTTTCACTGTCTAGCCAGACAAATAGATTTTCAGAATAGAACTGGGCTTGAAAAAAAGCCCCAAAATCTCCAGAAATGGCTGGTTGAGTAAACAAAATAATCATTTTGCTGCTCATTTCCCACCTTGTTTGGAACTGACATGGCGTGTTTGACTCATGCTGTGTTCAATTGTGCTCCCTTCTGTCTGTCTGTGTCTCTATTTCGGTAGTGACAGAGATGTGATGATTAATTCAAACCTGCAAACCAACCAATTCCACTTATAAAGCAAAATACCTTTTTAAAGCTGTAGACAGTACTCGTGTGTTTCTTGACCTCCGCCAATCTACGTGTAGATGGCGGGCATTAGTGACAAGTAGATGGTTTTATTGAAGTAACTTTAATGAAATGAGTGACTACAGTGTGCATGTTTCCTGATGTCCAGCTGCTTGATTTGATAACTGACTAAGACGAACGGGCTGGCAGGAACCACTGCAGAGTTAATGTTCAACAAGGAGAGCCACAAGCTGCCAACCAATGCAAACCACCTTTGCATGACAATTAGGGAGTAGCATGAGCTCCCTGCCTGGCCTCAAGGAATGGGCATGAGGAAAGAAGTCGGCAGGCAAACCTGTGTCTCTCTCCATCTCTGCATGCCCTCTCTCTCAGTATGTCTGTTTACATGTTTGATTGGATCACTATGAAAGTATCTCTGGCCTTGATGCTGATCTGAAGATTATGTAAGTTATTAAGCAGAAGTAGAATTTCAGAAATTTTATATGTGGTGCAGTGTGTCATCTGTAAACTGTCCTTGGCCCTGTTTTTAAATATGACTCAAGGCAAACTATTCATATGCAACACAGATTTAGTTTGGCTTAGTCACAGAGCAACTCTTGCCTTCCTCTTCTCTTTTTTGGGTCATAATGACCACCAATTTTAGCTGCACAGGGACAGTCATGAGCACTCCTGGAGCTGTCTTCCCCTATCATCTGTGAGTCTTGCTGTAGGCGTCCAAATATCCTTATCATCTCCATGACTGCACCATTTAGACCAAAACATGGCCGCCATCCATTTTCGACATCCCTCCCCGTCTACCTCTGATTATTCGCATTAAGGTCGCAGTGAGATATTTTTCAGATGCACAGTGGGACAGTAGATACTGTAAGCATGGGGTTTAAACCACAAGGCCTTGGGGACCTTTAAACACTTTGGCGTCAGCCCTTGTTACTGTCAGCCCCAACAGAGCAGGTTGTGTGTGCCATCCTCATTACTCACCACGTCCGTCACTTGCCTGGCAACCGGGCTGCTGCATCGGTAGGGAAGAGGGAAGAGATATTATAGCCGGAGCTGCTCCTTCCGTCTCTCGGCTGACATTTCCCCTTAAACTGTTTATTTACAATACAGAATGAATGGGTGGCGGCCAGGGGAAGCTGGCT